AAAATTTTTTAAAAAGTGCTATAATAAGATATTGCATGCAACGTATGCTCTTCAAATAGCAGCATTAATTTGTAGGACAAGGAAGACATAATAAAGAAAGCATAAGCTTAATAAATCAATGGGAATTTATCAGTTATAATAAAGATCTGATATTCTCAGTGCCATTTACTGCCTTTCTAGAAATTTGTGTAGAACAAAAGCAGGCAGACTTCAGTTCATAGGATCTATTTCGGTTTTCAGTAGCACCATGAAGACTATTTTTCAGAAAAAGATCCAAAATAGCAGCTTTGAGATACACACCAAAATAGACAAATACACAACATTTGTAGCACAATTGTATTAGTGTTCATTCGGTGTCACTGCCTATTAGGCATGGGGCTGTTGTTTCTTTTTGACTGCAACTCCCAGAATTCATCAGGAATTCCCTTGGGCAGAGGTATGGGAGCTGCAGCCCAAGAGCAGCAGCTTTAAAGTTTAGGATTTCTCACTTCCATGTGGGCCCCTATCACCATTATATATTGCAGAGCTTTGAATTTTTGATAAAATTCTCTTTTTGATACACAATATAACTATTATTCAAAGAATAGAATTAAAAACATAGTAAGTTAAACATTAAAAAACAATTAAACTACACACTAATTAAAATACAATTGAATAAATAAAAGCAGGTAAACATTAAAAACAATCTTAGCTTTAACATGGCATTCAAGGACTTAATTATTGTTAAAAGCCTGCCTGAAAAGGTGAATCTTCAACTGTCAACAGAAGGATAACAGGGAAGGGGTCATCCTGAGCTCCCAAGGGAGAGCATCCCATAGCCTGGGAGCTGCCACAGAGAAGGCCCTCTCCCGTGTCCCCACCAACTGTGCTTGTGCTGGCAATGGGACCGAAAGGAGGGCTTCCTCTGCTGATCTTAAACCCTGAGAAGGCGCATTGTGAAGGAGACCCATAGGAGAAAGAACAGAGTGAGCCGTCCCCTCACATAGAGACGTCTGAGCGGGAGAGAGATATAGAAGTAGGGAAGATAATGGAAAGTGAAGATTCGAATGTGGAGGAAGGGAAAAGAAGGGAATCAAAGGGGAAAGAGGAGAAGATTGAAATCTGTCTAGTGGAAGAGAGAGAGGGAAAAGGGAAGGAGGAGTTGATTTTGCCCGTGTAGGAGAATATAGGGGAGCAAAGTGAGAGGAGACAGTTCAATGTACCATAGAGAGAGGGAGAGAGAAAGAAGGGAGGAAAAGAGGGGTGAGAAAAGAGAATATGAATATGATAGAATGTGCGAGCAGTTGGAGGACTTCCCTAATTTGAAGGTAGAAGTGTTGCTACCTGACCCGGACAAGTCTAAAGAAATGGGGACATTGGTAGAAGCTCTAGAATGGACAGTTGTGGTCGTTCTGTGGGGACAAGGTCACTCAAGGAAGGTGATGCGGCCAGACCCTTCCTTCAGCCATCCACCCCCGGAGAGAGATTGGGCCAGGTACCCTTGTTGTGGGACAATATGCACGGTCCAGGGTGCTCTGCTGAGGAAGCCCACTGATCAGGAACGTTTTGGGCTAGGCCCTCAATGAATCCTGTCTATTTCCAGACAGAGTTATTGTCTTCACAATTCGGACAGTTACCAGATCTTAGTTGTTTTGAACCAATAGAAGTTGTTGTAGATAAATCTGTTAATGTTCAAAAAGAGACTCAGTTGTCATTTCCTGCCAAAAAGGAGGAACTGCTTCAGATCTTTAATGAATACAATCACACGCATATAAGGAGATACGGTCATTCAGGTAGCCTGGACCCAAGCTGTATAGAGCTTTATGGGTAATGACCACCACTTTGAATTGGGCCCGGAAACGGACTGGTAGCCAGTGTAGTTCTTGTAACAGGTGCAGTATATGCTCCCTGTAGCTCACCCCAGTCAGTAGTCTGGCTGCAGAGTTTTGCACCAGCTGAAGTTTCCGAACCGTCTTCAAAGGCAGCCCCACATAGAGCACGTTGCAGTAATCCAAACGGGATGTAACTAAGGCATGTGTCACTGTAGCCAGATCCGACATCTAAAGAAATGGGCGCAGCTGGCGCACCAGCTTTAGCTGTGTGAATGCACTCCTGGCCACCACTGAGACCTGGGCATCCAAGCTTAGGGTTAACTCCAGGAGTACACTCAAGTTGCGGACCTGAGTTTTCAGGGGTAGTGTAACCCCATCCAGCTCAGGTAGTATCCCTATTCCCTTATCTGCATTCTGACGAACCATGAGCACCTCTGTGTTGTCTGGATTAAATTTCAGTTTGTTTGCCCTTATCCAGCCCATTACTGATGCCAAGCGACTCTAAACAGCTTCCCTCGAATCAGGTCGAAGGGAGAGATAGAGTTAGGTATCATCTGCACACTGGTCACTGTATACAATAGAAGAATAGAGGACCACAGAGGAGAATTGCGACAAGTTAACCAGAGTCTACCTCTTTCTCATTAACTGGCACTTAATAATTCACTCTGAGATATTTGTTGGAGATAAAATCAAAACAACTTCTTTACTTACCATTGCTTGTGTCTGTAATTTTCTTTACTGCACACATACTAGCAACAAACCAAACAGTTCAACAGCAGCAACCAATTGATGAAACAGAAGGAAAGAACTGTCAGTCAAAAGCCAGTGCTCTCTTTGAATTTCAAATGCTAGAAGGAATGACTCCTAGTGATACCTGAGAATGACAAAGATTCTGTCCTTGGAGAAAGGACGAAATGTAAAAGGGCTAAATCCAAAATTACTCCTACCTAAAGTAGAGCTAATCAAATCAATGGGATTTAAGTTAGTTGTGATTAAGAAGTCCCATTCATTTCAATGGGTCTACTGTAGTTAGGACTATTGGCTTTAACCCTACATATGAGAAGTTTTTCTAAGTTCCATAAGAGCATCATTAAAGTTCTGTTTATGACTACTGATAGTATTGTAATTCCAGGAAAATATCTGATCAATAAAATACAGTAGCTTTTCTATGAAAAATGACAAAAATACCTTGTGCTGTTTTGTTGATTTTTTGTAATCTATATAAATATTTTAAAATCTTTTGGATTTGTGGCAGTTGATACAGAGCTGCTGAGCTTTTCAATATATTGTCTCCCCTACCCTTTTCTCTCTTTTCCAAAGGAAAGATTGAAGCCTCTGAGATTGTTCAGTCCCTCAAGATACTGGGTATAGATATTTCAGAGCAACAGGCTGCAAAAATTCTACAAAGGTCAGGAGCTATAACTTTTTTCTGGTTAAGGGAGTGATTCTTTGACTGTGTGTCATTTGTAGGGACTGAGACATGTTCTGAAGGTTTTAAAGGTAAAGGTAAAGGTTCCCCTTGACAATTTTTGTCCAGTCGTGTTCAAAGGTTTTAGTCATCGCTGAATATGCCCACAACCCTGTCTATTGGACTAGGTCCAGGTCTAGCATTAGATGGCTACGGTCTGATGAACCCCACAACCCTGTCTATTGGACTAGGTCCAAGTTAGCATTAGATGGCTACAGTCTGATGAACTGGTCTACAGAAGCTCACATTAAAAAAAACATAAAAGTTAGTTTTTAAGGTGCTGCCATATTTTTGTCTTTTTTCACTTTTTATATTTTGCTTTTACCGGTAATGCTTGGACAGACTAACATGGCTACCCCTTCTACAACAATGGCTAGGGATGCTACACTGAAGGTGAAAGTAAGGATGCATGGAGAGTTTCCTGAAGAAGTTTATGCTTTAGTAAACACTAGAAAACCCCCAGTACAAGCAGAAGGGAAGTGTCTCCCTATGACTATTCATAATAAAGCATCCCCTGATGCTTGGTTGACAGGTACAAAGGAATGCTGTCTTCAGTGTCATCTATAAGGCACAGTCTCATACCTAATGCCTGGCTAGGTAAAGGGGGATTCCATAAGACAGGATCTTAGGTTTCAAGGAAAGTGTTTGACCCTTGTTCTAGAAGCTTTTTAAAAACACACACACAAAAAAAACACATATCAGAATGAAATGTTCCTTTGGTATTAATCCCACTCCAAACCACTGTCCCCTAGATACAAAACTTTGTGGAACTCTGTACAGGCCACAGTATTTGTTAACAAGTGAGGCCCAGCAGCAGAATGTTGGGAGATTGGGATGCTTCTTGATAGGACTGTTCAAGATGCTGTTCAGCCTACAGTGGGAGCCTGGTGGCATTACCTGGAGTTTGTTGTGGGGTGGGGAAGACAAGCTGGGAAAGGAAGAGGGCAGCTTTCTCCCTCTCCTGACCGAGGTCTTCTGCCATTTTATATATAGATGAGGGATATATTGCACTCCAGGTGTTGTTGGACTACAAATTCCATCAACCCTTACCATTGATGTGTTGGCTAGGACTAGTGGCTGTGGGTGCAGAGGGGTAGAAACCACTTGTACCCCTTTTCTGCATGCTTTCCAGAAACATGGTTTAGGTTGGCAGGGTAAATTGTATTGTTATCTTAATATGTCTACGACGTATTAAGATAACAAACTATGGTTACATGTTATTTCAATGAAGGGACAAGGCGGAATAACAGTGTAATATTTCTCCCTGGATTAGTAGCACAAGAGACTGCTAATGAATTTATATTAAAGTGAATAATGATCTGTGAGGAAAAATAAGATTTTAAAAATTCGAAGGCACTTTGCTCACCAAAATGCTTATGCGATGAGACCTAAACATTCTGAATATTCCACTTGTGAGCATGTGTAATATTTCTTAGCCTTTTTTGAAAGCAACACAGCTAACACAGTGAGCAAAAAAAATACTGATTATTTCATTCTGAACCTTTAGCATGGATGCTGATGGTACAATGTCAGTAGACTGGAATGAATGGCGAGACCATTTTTTGTTCAATCCAGCTACAGATATTCAGGGGATTGTCCGCTACTGGAAGCATTCTACCGTGAGTATAATTTGCATTTTCATTGGAATCCAATTGTAGACTGCGTCTACCTGTTTTTATGAAAAAAAGAAGGATGCTGTGTGTGTTTACTGTGAGATAAAGCTTACTGGACTCTGAGGTAATTAATGTTTTGGCCATACATCTACAATGTTTTATCTGCTTTTCCTCCAAAAATATCACTAAGGGTGGCTAACAAAAATAAAATAAAATTTAATAAGAACATCTTGTTGAACAGCAAGAAATAAAATCAAATTCAAAAAGAGAATGGAAGCACAATGATAAGAAACACAGCTTGCAGCCCACCAGGTAGACTGCCTTTGGCACCTAGCTGATATACATGCTTTGGCTTTTTCTGAATACGTAATCTTTGCTTGCCAACAATCTGTTTAAATGCTGAGCACTGGCACAGTGATTGATATTGGAATGTTTGTAGGATCAATAGCTCAGAGTGGTTTGTAATCACAAAATTTTAAGTTTTGTGGTGTTGTTATGTGATGAGGACAGAGCCACACATGCCCCTGTCTGTGGTTTGTCAAACTCAACTTCAACCTCCTCTGAGCCAAGAAGGGAGGGGGAAACCATGGGTAAATACAGAAACCAGGAGACACAGATGGACACCATTGCTGAGGCTAGCAATAGAGGCAGAGAAGGCCAGTAGAAGGAAGGGGGAGAAACCATTGTAGCCTTGGAAGGTAGTAGGTAAGGGGGAAGTTTTACCACCGAAAGGGGAGAAGGAAAAGAAACCAGAACCAGAGGCAGGAGGAGAGAATTCAGTGGAAACAGCAGAGCAGAAGAAAGAGGAGGAAGCTCTGTACAGAGAGGAATGGGGAGAATGGCAGAAGAAAGAGGAGGAGATAATAAAGACTCAGGGAATGGAAGACAGAAAAGAAGAAGAGATGACACTCAGTAAGATTGGTCTAAAGCTTATTTGGTGGGTAGTTCACCTGAGGAGGAACTTAGAGCCACTTTCATCAGCTGGGAGGCGGGTGCATGCACAGAGGCAGTGACTGGCTTCCCTGCAAGGAGTCTGACAGCTGCCTGCGCATGGCACCCAGGGAGGAGTTGGCAGTAGTGATAGTTGAAGAAGGTAGGCCAGGCAATGGGGCAGTAGGGTGGGGGGAGGAGCATCCTATTTTGCCTGAGCAAAATGAAGCACCAAGGTGAAAAAATGGGATCGCCAAACCAGGTCACAAACCAAACTGCAAACCAGCCTGGTTTGCCATTTGGTTCATGCCCATCTCTATTTAGTAACAGCTGACTTTTGTTAGTCCTATATATGTAAACATCCCTGTGAACAATAGTTGAATCCTGCAGCCTGGTAGAATGGGGAGGGTGCCCTTGTGATAGATCTGCTAAGCTGATTGGGTTGCAAAAGTCACAGACACATTTTGGCTTTTAACTTTTCAAGAGAATAAAGGGATAATTCGGTTGAGATAAAAATACTTGGATGAATTGCCAAGTCATTGAATTAATAATCTTTTTAGGAAGTTGTCAAGAGGTTAATCTTGATAATCCTTAAAAGCTGTTTGGAAAAAAAGTAACTGTGCTTTTTAAGCGTTTGGATTTCAGCCACTGTTTGGAAAGCATCTTATGTCCCAAAGCAATGTCTTGCATTTATTTGTAATCATTATAAAAGAAGATGGTTCTGTCTTTGAAGGTTTTAGAGAGGTTTTTTAGGTTTTAGAGAGCAGTGTTATATATGTATGTAGCCAAGGAAAAAAGTGCAATCCCCTTTTCATTTTAAAATATGCTCAGCTGTATAGAATTGCTTCTTGTATGATTTATTTTAAACAAACAACTCTATGTTGAAATATACCGTATTTTTCGCTCCATAAG